CTGCCAGATGATCTGCTGCAGCAAATCCTCAAAAGAGGCTCCGTTGCTGTTGCAGGGATTGGCAAAGAGTCTCCCACGGGGGTCTTGCGGGCCCACAAGGGGCTTGCGGGGGACTTCACCGGAGACACGGCCACTGGTAAGCAGCAGCAGCAGCAGCAGCAGCAGCAGCATCTGCTGCTGCTGCTCCTGCTGCGGTTAGTGCCGCTTGTGCGGGTTGCTTTTTGTTTAAAGGCCTTTATTGGCAGCAGCAAAAGAAGTTTAAATTCTTTAACCGCAAATGTGGCCGGAGCAGCGGGGAAGGGCGGGCCGTGGGGTGTACGTACACCTGGGGACTGTGGGGTGTACGTACACCTTGGGGTTGTGAAGTGTACGTACACCTGAGAACTGTGGGGTGTACGTACACCTGAGAACTGTGGGGTGCACGTACACTCCGGAGACTGTGGGGTGTACGTACAGCTGGGCGCTGTGGGGTGTACGTACAGCTGGGGGTGTGGGGTGTAGGAGCCGGGGTGTACGTACAGCTGGGTTTGGCGCAGGGTTTTTCCCGGATTACCTGCGGGCGATTTGGCGCATAATTGGCCACCACTTTGGCAGCGAAGTTTCTGTGGAATACCAATTCTATGAAAGTGTAGAAGCAGCTCAAGCTGCTGTTGCTGCTGGCGAGGCGGACATGACGGACATTTACTTCCTGCTGTCGCACCGCAACAGCAGCAGCAGCAGCAGCAGTGTGGCGCGCCAGCGGGGGGCCCCCAAGGGGGGCCCCCACAAAGGTGGGGCCCCCATGGACCTCTCGAACCCTCTCTCGCTGCTGTACATGAGCTGCCCCGTTGTGGGCGCAGTCTTGTTCACATACACTCGAGAAGGTTCAAAGAACTCTTATGAAGGACTTATTGAGGCCTTTTCAATTGCCCTAATTAGAGGGGGTAAGTTGCCAGCTTTGGGGCCACACACGGGCCCCGAACGGGCCCCACGGGCGCCCCACGGGGGCCCCGCAGGGGACCCACGGGGGCCCCACGGATGCCCCACAGGGCCCACGGGGCCCCACGGATGCCCCACAGGGCCCACGGGGGCCCCACGGGGGCCCCACAGGGGCTCCACAGCAGCAGCAAAAGCTGGGGGCCCCAGGGGCCTTTGCTGCAAACAGCGCCTTTGCGGCAGTCTTTGCATGCATGTTGCTGCCCTGGGTTATTCTTGCTGCATGCGGTCTTTCAAACCTTCCCAAGCTGCGTCTCATGTGTCCTTTTTGTCTCTGCTGCTGCTCTGCTGCTGCTGCTGCTGCAGAAGGAGACGCAAAGACAACTGTAGTGGTCCCCACGGAAGAGCTCAAAGCCATTGTGGGGCCAGTTCTCCCAGACTGGGTGACAGTGCATGTCGTAGACAACAGTAAGTCATCCAAATCCCTCCGGGGCCCCCAGGGGCCCCCTGGGGCCCTGTGGGGCCCTCCGGGGCCCCCTGGGGCCTCCTGGGGCCCCTGAGGCCCCCTGGGTCCCTCTGGGGGCCCCAGAGGCCTCCAGGGGCTCCCAGGGGTGTTTTGGGACACTGCCTGCTTGCTTAACGCTCTGCTGCTCGCTGCCCCAGGCTGCTGCTGCTGCTGCTGCTGCAGTTTGCTGCTGCAGGCTGCTGCTGTTGAAGTGCCTTCTGTTGGTCGTGCTGCTGTTGGCCCCTTGCGGGATTTATGTGTCACTTTGCTTCTGCTGCTCGTGTCTGCTGCTGCTTGAGTGTTGGCGTAAAATTGGCTTCTCGACCCTTGACGCCTCCGCATCTGCTGCTGCTGCTGCTGCTGCTGCTGCGCGCAGTGGCTGTGGCGCTGCGGGCGGTGGCCAGCGGCGAGGCCTACGCGGCCATTTCTGTGGGGCCCTCGCCCAGCAGCGCAATTCCCCCTGGGGTCACTTTGCGGGATGGCATTGACTTGGTTGCTGCTAAGGGCGCCTGGGTCCGCAGGAGCCGCAGCCCCAAGTGCCTCCGCAGGGAGCACATCAACAGCTTCACCCGCTGAAGCTAGCTGGCTAGCTAGCCACTAGCTAGCCAGCTAGCTAGCGAGCCCAGCTAGCTAGCTGGCTGGCTGGGCTGGCTAGCTAGACAGGTAGCTAGCTGGGCTGGGTGGGCTGGCTAGCTAGCTGGATGGGCTGGCTAGCTAGCCAGGTAGCTTGCTGAGCTGGCTAGCTAGCTAGCTAGCTGGGCTGGCTAGCTAGCTAGTTGGGCTGGCTAGCTGGCTCAAGACCGGCTAGCGAGCGCAGATCTAGTTGGGTGGCTGAAGACGCGGCTAGCTAGGTGAGGACCTGGCTAGCTGGCACAAACCCTAGCTGGCCGGCACAAGAGGCAGCTAGCTAGCTAGCTAGCTCAAGACCCGGATAGATGGCCCAAGACTTGGCTTGCTCCCTCAAGACTTGGCTAGCTGGCTCAAGCCCAGCAGAGCTAGCTGGACTCTCGGCGAGTCAGCTGAAGTACCAGCTAGCTTGGAAGGCCCTGGTTGGCTAGCTGGAGTCCTGGCTAGCCAACTGAAGCCAAAGCTAGCTAGCTAGCTGAGGCCACAGCTAGCTAGCTGGTGCCATGGCTGCTCAGCTGAAGCCTAAGCTAGCTAGCTGGACCCCCAGCAAGCGAGCTGAATCTTCAGTTAGCTAGCTGAATCCCCAGTTAGCTGAATGCCCAGCTAGCTAGCTTATGCCCCAGCTAGCTAGCTGAAGTCACAGCTAGCTAGCTGAAGCCACAGCTAGCTAGCTGGGCCACCGGTGACGGCAGACAGCCTGCACCTGCCACTGGGCTGAAGCGCGACTTATCCTTCTTGACTGCTAGCTAGCTGGGTGGGTAGCTGGGTGGCTAGCTGGGTGGCTGGCTGAGTGGCTAGCTAGCCAGCAGACAGCATCCCCAGCGAGAGAGTGTCTCGTTGCTGTTTGAGCAGCGTACATTGTTTAATATACTTCCGGGGGGTAGCAGCAGCCACGCAGAGCCGAGAGCAGCTGTTTCAAGTGCAGCAGCAGCACTTGCTGCTGTTGCTGCTGCAGCAGCACGTGCTGCTGCAGCGGCACGTGCTGCAGCAGCACGTGCTGCTGCAGCGACTGCTCCTGCTCTGGTGTCTGGGCCACGTTGTGTATGGGTATTTTCTTTCGGGTTGCATTGCTGCTGCTGCTGTTTACATTTTCAGCTTAGTGCTATGTTTACTATTATTAATACTTGCTGCTGCTGACGGCACTTCTGCAGCTGCTTTGTTGCTGCAGCAGCAGCAACTGCTGCTGCTGCTGCAGCCGTACGCTGGCAGCAGTTGCTGGCATCGCGAACAAAAGTGCTTTTAACTGCCAAGTGGAAAACAGTTTTTGCAGTTTTGCTGCAGTCGGGGTTTACGCGCACCTCTGCGTCAGCAGCAGTAACGGCTGCTGCTGCGGTGCACTTGCTGCTGCTGTTCGTTTGCTGCTGCTGTTCGTTTGCTGCTGCTGCTACTAAAGCCAGTGCCGAGGGCTTCTCAAAGAACAGCATCTCCCACAATTGTTTCCCTGAGTTGACGGCTGCCTGCTGCTGCCACCTGCAGCAGTCGCATAACTCCTGGCTGCTGCTGCTGCAGCACGCGCTGCTGACCTTCTTCCCAGTGGCACCAGTGCATTTCTGGCGCTCCTTTGGCCTCCCACGCTTGCACCATTTGGTGCTGCACTTGCTGCTGCTGCTGCTGCTGCAGCTGGGTGACCGCAACGCCATCAGCATGTATACCAGTGGTTTGGTCCACTGCAGCAGCAGCTGGCAGCAGCGGCTCTACTGACACGGCGCTGCAGCTGCCAGCTATGTGGCCCCCTGACTCAAGTGGCTCTTTTTCCTTCAGCAGCTGCTGCTGCAGGTGCTGCTGCCCCGCATGTATTTGCTGCAGCAGCGTCAGCAGGGCTGGAGTGCCAGCTGATGAATCTGCAAGCCCGGAGGAAGGCTGCTGCGGCTCCCACACGCACTGTTCCTGCTGCTGCTGCTGCTGTCGCTGCTGCTGCTGCTGCCGCTGCCGCGGCTTTGAAGGCACAGAGTACTGTGGAGCGCCGGAGGCAGCAACGCATACCTTCGGTTGCTGCTGCTGCTGCTGCTGCTGCTGCTGGCAGTGCTGCTGCTGCTGCTGAGACTCATCCACATTGCGCGCAGGAGATGCTCTGCACGTAGTGCTGCAGCAGCGGGGATGCTGCACAGGAAGCTGCTGCGTTTGCTGCAGCTGCTGTTGCTGCAGCAGCTGCTGCTGTATTTCATCAGAACTACAAGCCACAGGGGGCACCCGATAGATTCGGGTGCAGCAACGGTGCGGCTGCACCTGGAGCTGCTGCTCTTGCGGCATTTGCTGCTGCTGCTGCTGCTGCTGCAGCTGCTGCTGCTGCAGCCTCATTTGCTGCTCCTTATACTGATCCGCCGGCATATAAGAAACAGCTGTGCTGCTTTGTACAGATCCAAAAGCTGCCTTATGTGCAGCGCAGCAGCCATGTTGCTGGCAGATGACCTGTTCATGCTGCACTTGCTGCTGCACTTGCTGCTGCATTTGCTGATGCTGCTGCTGCAGCTTCTGCTGCACCCGCTGCAGTCCACCCTGCTGCTGCAGGCCCGGACCCAGCGAGCACAAGTGCTGCTGCTGCGCAAGTGCGTGGCCTTGGTGCAGAAGCATCTGCCGCTGCTGCTTTTCGAAAAACCATGGCGAAACCGGTTGCTGCTGCTGCTGCTGCGGCTGTTGCTGCTGTTCGTGTTGCAGAAGTTGCTGCTGCTGCTGCTGCTGCTGCAAGAACTCTTGCCATGGCGTGTGCGAGTAGCAGGTGAGCCGTCGCGCTGCACTTGCTGCTTGCTGCTGCACCTCCTGGTGCTGCTGCTGCTCCTCCTCCTGGGCGCAGTGCTGCCGCTGCAAGTGCCGCTGCTCCATCAGTTGCTGCTGCTGCAGCTGCGACTGCAGTTGAGGCTGCAGAATTTGCTGCAAGTGCTGCTGCTGCTGCTGCTGCTGCTGCTGCTCTTGTAAGCGCTGCTGCAAACCCTGACGCAGCAGCAAAGGCCCAAGTTTTGCTGCTGCTGAAGCGGCACGCGGTCGCCTGGAGCTGCTTGTGCAGTGGGCGCTGCTGCTGCTGCTGCTGCAGGCGCTGCTGCTGCTGTTTGTTGCTGCGGCCTGCCCCCTGCAGCGGCAGCAGCAGCAGCAACTAAATGCCACTCTTGAAAGCTTCGTGAATGGGAAGGAGTTGCCTCCTCTATGCTTCTCAGCGAGCCGGCAGAGACGCTGCAGTCTGCATGGGATGCATGCTCAGCAGCAGCAGCAGCGTCAGCAGCAGCAGCAGCAGCGTCAGCAGCAGCAGCAGCAGCAGCGTCAGCAGCAGCAGCAGCGTGAAAGGGAACTGGAACAGCAGAAGAACCGGTCAAGCAGCAGCAGCCACAGCGGCCTCGGGCTGCTGCTACTGCTGCAGCGCCTGCAGCAACTGCAATGGGCCTGGCTGCCTCTGCCGTTGCCTTTTTCGCCTGCTGCTGCTGCTGCTGCTGCTGCCGCTGGTTGCTGCAGGCGCTGCCTGCAGAATGCTGCTGCCGCCCTGCAGCAAAGGCCCAGTCGCTTGCTGTCGTCACTTCGCAGCAAATCGTGCAGCAGCAGCGGGAAATTGCGCGGCCCTGTTGCTGCTGCTGCTGTTTCCGCTGATGGTGCTCATGAAGATGCTGTTGCTTTTGCTGCTGCTGCTGCATCTGCTGCTGCTGCTGCTTGCACAGCATCCTCTGTTTCCGCTGCAGCCGCTGGGTGGTGCAGGCAGCAGAATGCTGACTAGTAGAAAGTGCTGCTGCTGTCGCTTTTGCTGCTGCCACCGCTGCTGCTGGCTGTTGCTGTTGCATTCGCTTCCAGCAAAGGGGCATCGGCGGGCCTGCTGCAGCAGCAGCAGCAGCTGCTGCTGCTGCTGCTTTTGTTGCCCGCGGTCCCACAGGTGTTGTTGCAGGGGTTGTAGCTCTTGTGGCAGGTGTTGTTAGTGCCGACGCCTCGAGTTCTGCTGCTGCTTCTGCCGTTGCTGCTGCAGTTGTTGCAGCAGCAGCAGCTGCTGTTGCTGTTAGTTTCTGCGTGTGGGACTTAGAACTTTTGCGCGTCGCAGCAGCGCGACTAGCAGCAGCGCGAGTCGCAGCAGCGCGAGCAGCAGCAGCAACACAGGTAGCACCAGCAGCAGCAGCAGCCGCGGCCCTAATTTCTGAGCTTCGTTTTGCAGCGGACAGGCCCCTGCAAGGCGCAGTTTTGCTGGTGCTGCTGCTGCAGTGCACGCTGCTGCTTCGGGTGCTGCTGCAGTTGCTGCAGCTACGAGCAAGGCCGCGTCCTTCATTCTTTCGAGAAGCAGAGTTAGGAAGACCAGCTGCAGCAGCAGCTGCTGCTGCATCAGGTCCTCGTACAGCAGCAGCAGCAGCAACACGTGTTTGCTGCTGGCGCACGCTATGCGTGTCGCCGCTGCGAGCTCGCGGGAGAGGCGGCTTTGCTGCTTTCGGTGTTTTTGCTGCTGCTGCTGCTGCTGCTGCTGCTGTTGCTGCCGCAGCGCGAGCAGCACTTGGCTGGCAGGAGGGCAAAGACCTGCGACGAGCAGCAGCAGCAGTAGCAGCAGCAGCAGCAACAGCAGCAGAGGCCTCCTTCTCGTTTTCAACCAGCAAGGCCTCCCACAAGCTCCCAGGGTCAGCAGCAGGAGCAGCAGCACCAACGGCAGGTTTCAAGCACGTCTGCTGCTGATGATCTTTCTGCTGCTGCTGCTGCTGCTGCTGCGGTTGCAGCGCAGCTTCGACCTTTTGTGGCTCTGAGGTCTCCCGCGCTGCACTCTGCTGCTGCTTCTGTGGGGAGGGTCTGGAGTGCTTCAGCAGCTCAGCTTTATGTGTGTCTTGAAGCTGCTGCTCTTGCTGCTGCTCTTGCTGCTGCTCTTGCTGCTGCCGCTTTTGCTGCTTCTGCTGCTGCTGCACGGACTGTAACTGAGTAATGAAGTGCAAGTGGCTTTGTAGCCGCTGCAGCAGCACAGAACGCGGAGAACGGCGTTCTGCGCTATTCGCATGCGGTCTTTGGCCCTGCTGCTGCTGCTGCTGCTGCTTGTTCTTCTTGTTAGGATTCTGATGCTTTTCCGGCTGCTGCAACTGCTGCTGCTGCTGCTGCTGCTCTTCAAGAGGCTGCTGCTGCTGTTGCGACGGAGGGTTCTGCTGAAGCGCCTGAGGTCCTTGTTCAGGGCCGTCTTCCTCTCCTGCCTGCAGTTCCCAAGCTTGTTGTTCCTGCTGCTGCTGCTGCTGCTGTTGCTGCTGGGCAGCAGGCGCAGAGTGGGGAGGCTGCTCCCCCTGCAGCGGCTGGGAGTCCAAGTGCTGCAGCAGCCACTCCTGCAGCTGCAGCTCCTCCTCCACACTCATTGTATTAGCTGCTGCTGGTGCTGCTGCTGCCTGCAGCAAGCTGCAGCTGGGACAACCCCATGTGTCTTCTCGCGGCTGCCGTATGCCGTAGCTCCCACGCTGCTGCTGCTGCTGCTGCTGCCCTTACCGTTGCAGCTTCCTCTTAACCCTGTGCTGCATCAAAATTAACTAAAATTAGCCATTCACGCCGCCACATGCAGTCGTGAGTGCAGCACCAGCAGCTAGTGTTGAAGCTGTCGGCAGCAGCCCTGGAGGTGTTGCTGCAGCTGCTGCTGTTGCTGCTTCAGCAGCAGAGTAGACAAGCCACAGATTGACTATTTTTTGCTCCATAAGGTTTTCTTGCAACCCATAAGAGCTGCACTTGCAGCAGCGGCTGCTGCTACGCGCGCTTGAGCTGCAGCTGCTGCAGCTGCAGCTGCTACAGCTGTGTGGTCTTGGGGCTGCTGCGCAGAGAAGGCTTTTGCTGCTGCTCTGATGCAGAAATGAGAAGAAATTAATTAAACAAAAATTCCTCTTTGCAGCTTCCATTCTTGTTCCTCGTCCACAGCCACCGCCGCCGCAGCAGCAGCAGCAGTTTCGGCTGCAGTAGCAGCAGCAGCAGCAGCCAGCTGGAGTGTCCTGGATTCAGCTAGTCACTTGCTGCTCCTGCTGCTCCTGCTGCGTCTGCTGCTCCCCAACTCAAGCCGTGGGAGTTGAGCCAGCAGCAGCTAGCAGCAGCAGCTAGCAGCTGTAGCGCCCAATTGCTGCAACGGCTCAAGGTGGCGTGTTCAGCAGAAGGCTCCTAGGGAAACATCAGCAGCAACAGCAGCAACAGCAGCAGCAGCAGCAGCGGCAACAACGGAAGCCAAGCAAGCAGCCCACGGCGCCCCTACGCGGGGCAATGCTTCGGTTTTGCTGCTGCTGCAGAATCTCCCGCCCCGTCCACAGCTTGCAGCAGCAGCAGCAGCAGCAGCAGCAACTCTTCTAAGCAGCTCAGCTTGCAGCAGAGCAGCTACACGGAGGGCTCTAGCGCTGCTGCTGCTGCTGCTGCGCTATCCTTTACTCGCAGCTGCTAAATGCATGCAGTTCAA